CCAATGGAACAGCAAAATAGAAGATATTTTTTCGCTCCAAATGGTTACCATTGATGGAAAGCCGATGTTGGTATTGGGAGCTCTCGGGAGAGTTGTTGTGGTTGATGTAGAGGAGGAGAAAATCAGTGCGATTTGGGATAATCATCGGTGTTTCAGCTGTTGTCACTTAGTGAAGTATGACGTATCGGGAAAGTTTTTGTTCTTTTCCTGTGTTAATTCGAAATTGTACCATAAAGTGTATAAACAGAAAATTGTCACTAATGTGATTGAGAAAGGGAAGGAGATGAATGAGAGGTCCAAAGCATAACGCGGGTTCGATCCCTGGTAGGGGCATTTCATTATTGATATTTTTATGTACCATATGTGCAGTACTGATAAACGCTTTAAGGTGAGATTTGGTTATTCAAGTTGGGGGTGAAGTGCGAAGACAGGCTTGATCAATTAGAAACGGGCGGATTCATATCAATCGATTAATAAGTGATCTCGAATGAGGACAACCGGGCTATAACAAGTAATTACACTCAGCATCACTACCCGTTTCGTCGGGGGCAGGTGATGGGATGAACAAGCATAGTGCGCCGCCTTCGATTTTGGCCAGTATGACTACTAATCAATGCATATGAGTATTTTTCAAAGTCTATGCCGATTTCCGAAAAGTAGGCGACTCAGCTGGAGAGGAAAAACGCTGTGAGAATAAAACGATATGGTCTTCGGGTGAATAGTATCAACTCAAGAGCCTCAACTCGAGACCTTAAATCTGGCCACGGTTGACATGAGATTATTCTCTCATGCCATACGATTCGTATGATAGGAAAAAAAAACAATGATCCAAGTGGACCAACGACTACACAGGACTCATATCGCCTCGCAATCGCTACCCTTCTATCCACCGCAACATCACTTAGGGAACAATCGTACATCTCGGGCGCGCGCTCTTAGCTCGTGATTTGCACTTCCTAGCACTTCGTGCCCTCCAAAACATCACCGTGATTGACATGAGATTATTCTCTCGCTCGCTCCCCAGCCTGGGGGTGATGGTTCCTCTTGAAGGGAGTGTACCAGATAATGGACAGCATGGAGCAGCGCATAGAACGGAAGGGCCAACTGCTGGTTTGTCGACTCGAGGCCTATTCGTCAGGATGAACTCATTTTCTTGGTAGTCTGAGTCCGACTATACTGTGTTCATATGAACGTGATAAACAGCTCTCGAACTCCTGTCCCAGGAGTTCTGTGCCAGTAATTGAGTATCAGACCTGGAATTGCTTAACACAAATACCAGTGAGTGGTAACTGATGAATAGCAACATTATAGCAGGTAAAGACTAGCGACAAAGCTAAGAATCTCACCACAACTACACAGAGCAACATACGAATACAACACTAAGTAGAACTGGCACAGTTCTGGGGTATAATTGCATTGCTGGTGTGACTCCCGGGCTGATGGATATGGTGATGATACCATACACAGTATATAGTGAGGTTAGAAGGAAGTTGAAAAGAATGTTCATCATTGATTCAATCGCGAGAATGATGTGCTGGACATTTTCTACTGTATTCACCGAATTTCACAATGCAACTTATCATTGAAACTTCCTTAACTGAACTCGAAGTAGCAACATATATGTACATCATAACATCGAACATGAATCACATCACACGTTCAAGTGTTACCAACACTCCGCCGAGCGTGATACGAATTTTATCATCATCAACACGACATAGCTCCACTTTCGATAGGGTAGCGGCGAAGCCTAAACTGGTCGCTCGGGCTGCCCAGGTGAAGACAGCTTCATCAGTCTTGGTGTACTCGTCAACTTTGTAGCAGCCCTTGCCACTCTCCCCGACTTCTTTTAATTTCATCACTCCAGTGGAGCGAGCCGGTTCACTTGTAAATGGTTTCAACTCAAGTTTCACTTCGAGTTGTCCAACGACGCTCAAGGCCACACTGACCCTTCGAGGGGAGCGATATTCTCCCACGTATTTGCCCCACAGAGGACCCCTATTCTGGAAAGCTCGCAACAATCTTTGAATAAGCCGTATGGACCTATTCAAACCAAACTCGAGGCTTCCTTCCTGCTTTGATGCTTGATCGTTCCCATCGGCTCTCCTCTTCGATGGTGACGATGATGCTTGGTCGTTCCCATCGGCTCTCCTCTTTGATGGTGACGATAATGATGCTTGGTCGTTCCCATCGGCTCTCCTCTTTGATGATGACGATGATGATGTTCGGTCGTTCCCATCGGCTCTCCTCTTTGATGATGACGATGATGATGTTCGGTCGTTCCCATCGGCTCTCCTCTTCGGTGATGACGATGATGCTTGGTCGTTTCCATCGGCTCTCCTCTTTGATGATGGTACTTCACCGTCTCCATTAGTTCTCCGCTTAGTTGGTGATGCTTGGTAGTTTCCATCTGCTCTACTCTCCCGCGAGAAGAGGGGTTCACTGATTCTCGCAGCGGCAATGGGGGCTGCCCCAACTGGTAGTGGAGCCGTCGGGCGGAGACGATATTCCTGGCCTGCTATACACAGCCACAGAGATTGCCCTCGAACCTCCAGTTGAATCGAAAAAGTCGACACGGGCTTTCTGAGGATAGTCGTCATACTTTTGCAGAAGCCGGCAAACTTTCTGAGGTTACCCTGTAGCTGTCGAAGGACGAAAACACCAGGGCGAGCTTCAAAACCCTCCAGTGCTGGTGACGTAAGGTGAGTTCGACTTTTGCTGACGTTCAGAATTATCTGCTCTCCGTTGGCTTCCATCTCAACGGTACAGTTCGAAGGGCCACTGTCAGCAACATACACGGCTGGTTGTAAGTATAGCCTATTGAGGAGCGTAGAGGTTCCAATAGCAAGGATCTGAGTTATGATTGACGACTTCATCCTCAAGAGACAGGGGAAGCTAGAAATGAGATCAACCTAATTGGTACCTTACTCGCTCGTCTTCTCGAGCGTCGGTGAATTTCCTGTCTCATTTGATGAATTATTGTGGATTAGCACTGAAGCCATGTCTAGGCCGCCACAGAACAGAGTTTCTAGGGCATGACTTCCGACCGAGTGAGATCTGTGGTGAGGTAGATAATCATATCAACACAGTTTCCATTAGGTTATGAGTGGAGCAATTGCTAGTGTACAATGGCAGCGTCATTAGGCTACCAATCGTCGTTCCTACCCAGCGGGAATAAAAACTGGAAGTCAAGTATTTACACTCATAAAGCCTTGGTTCATCCCATTAGGTTTTCAGGGAGTTGATCACTCTATCGTCCAATAGTTGTGTGGTGTGGAATCCGTTCTGCCCAATCTGTCCCTCCTAGCTATGGCTAGTAGGAGGTGTACTGTTGCTGTTGTATTCCTCCTATTCCTCCAAGTAGTATCGCCCTGGCTAGTGTTATAAGTCAATGTCATCAGTGTCTGTGGTGCCGAACAGCGGCCCAACGGGTGATCAGAGTGATAACTGAACCTAGCTTCGAAAGCTGCGAGGCATGGAGGAGATCAGTCATCGAATCTTAGAAAAACAGCTCAACATGAACTACCCACACTTGAGGAGCTCTTCGCGATCAGGCACGTTGTTCTGTTCAACAGCATCACACACGGAGAAGGCCTCGTTCAGAGGATTCCTGAAAATCCCTGGTTCCCTCCCAGCAGTCGTCATCACCAACACTCTGACTTGTTGTAAGTAGATGACGGCATTAAAGTGGTAGAGCTAGTACTGGTGCACTTGTACAATTACACGGTAAGCACGGTGGTTCTGGAGGGCGGCTGTTTCCTCAGCAAACCGAAGTGACTTTGTGAAATGTGATCGGAAAAATGGGCTCATCCCTCGAAAATTCTCAGCGTTGAGATGTCTAAGCTTTCTCTCCACTTGCTTGCACCTTGTCTCGTCCTCGAGATGTTCTTCCAACTACACGTCCTATTGACGGCTCTCATCTGTAACCTCGCTCGGCCGTCGATCGTCTGATAGCCGCCTTTCCAGGACAGGTCCAAACTAATGATATTCCGCCACCATATAACACACGATTTGATGAAGCCAATGGTTACGATCCAGCCGCTATTGTCTGTCGTCCGCTATGTATGGTATTACATCTGAGGCAGGCGAACATATAGTCCAAAACTGTCCGACTACTTGAGGAAGAATCTCAGTCCTGCCGAAAGGCTCCGCAGGGGTTCCAGGCTGGAACTTCCAGCTTGTTGATGTCTTCCGAATCCCTACAGAGTGCACAAGTTGTGTAGCACTAAAATGGAGTCTTGATATTAGCTTGAAGTTTGCTGATGATCTTATGAGTATAATTGTAGAAAGAATCTCTAGACTTCATTTTCTGACTTCTGTAAAAGATAACACTATTACTGTTACCCTTAGCTAGTCTTAGTACGAGTTTCTTAGCCCCAGCGTGCCGCCAGCTATGCTAATTTTCACGCTAATGTGTCGAAGTGAACTGAAATTTCAGGAATATATCGCATAGATTCATAATGGTCATCAGTAACGGGACTCAATCGATACTTGATTTTCCTAGGAGTGTTCGGTGAGGAAAAGTATGTTCGGTTTCCTCAGCCGAGCTCAGGAGCTTCCTTGCTACTTTATGGGAGTTTACTTATGACCCAGGGTTGAAGTGCACAAAAACCAGCATGAGTTTCCTCATTGTTATCCACACTGATGGTGATTGGCCATATACATAATTTCCCTACACTGCTGCCAGCAGTCAGCAGTATGGTCGCTGAACATCATTTTTTCCTTAGTGACTTAGACACGTTGTTCTCCAGACACTTGAAAAAACAAAGAGAACCCCGTCTCGCATATTACAGACTTCGAATGAACGATATGAAGTGCCACATTTTGGAGGCCACAATGCTGTATATTTTGTGTGATGATTACGCTAGTCGTTGAATATACCCCAGCTGATGCACACAATGTGCGCTACTTCGTCCTACAAAAAAATGTGGTGTGTTTTTGTTGAGCGCTTTTGATTTAGTTTTCTCTCGCAGTTCCTCTCATTTTATTACAACCCAAGGATGTCATTCTTCTTGAGTTGGTTCTTGCTCGCCCTCATTTCGTCCTTCGTTTTGGCTGACGTCAGCGATGCCGTCGATCGTTTGATAGCCGCCCTTCCAGGACAGGTCCAAACCAACGATATTCCCCCACCATATAACACACGATTTGATGAAGCCAATGGTTACGATCCAGCCGCTATGGTTTACGTGTCTTCAGCTGAGGATATTATTATTGCCTTGAAGATCTGTTACGAGGAAGATACTCCTGTAGCTCTGAGGAGTAATGGTGGCCACTCTTATATCGGACAATCTACAGTCAACGAAGGTGTCATCATCAACTTCTCGGAATTGAAGAGTTTCGATGTTACTTATGATGATGATGGTCGATACATCGCTAAGATGGGTTCTGGTTTGATGTTGTTGGAAGTGTACTCGAGGCTTGCTCGTCATGACCCCCCACTAGGGTTGGCTGCAGGCTCTGGTTCTTCCGTTGGTTTAGCTGGTTTAACCTCTGGTGGTGGCCATGGTCTGTCTTCTGCTATGTATGGTGTCACATCTGATAGAATTGTTGCTGCTGAGGTTGTGGTATACAATCGCGAGAATGGTCAGTTTGAATTGGTTACTGCTACCGGTTATAATGAGTATTCTGATCTTCTCTTTGCTGTCCGTGGTGGTATGGGTGGTAACTATGGTGCATTAGTTTCACTAAGTTATGACGCCTTCCCTGTCACTAACGTGGTTATTATTTCCGGTAAGAACTTCGATTCGAATCCTTCCGTACAAGCTCAGAGGATTAAAGCCTTTCAAGAATTTATGCACTCCGATGCTGTCGGTCCTGAGATGTTCGGAATCGGTAAATTCTTAGGCGGTGGTGGGATTCAGTACAGCGCTCAGTGCATCTGTGATGATGTTACTGGTGATTGTACGGTCTGTCATGGTAAATTGGATGCGATGCAAGCTGCAGTCGGCCTGGCTAATCCTCTACGTGTCGAGCAAGACTTTGGAAAGGCCATGTGGTACTGGGCTGATTGCACTTCCGATTCTTGGATGGACTTCTACCCTTCTGATGGTGTAGCTAACTGCAGTGAGGAGGATCTCCAAGATGCTATGGAAAAGTGTTGGGCATTTGATAGAGATGTTTACGGTGGCCCCTATAAGGCGAAGTCCATCTACTTCCCCAAGGATATGAGCATTGAAACTTTGGAGTATCTCGCTCAAGCCTCGGTCGACCCAGTGTGTCAAAATGCTGGTGATTGTGTGATGCTCTTAGACTTCTACGGTCATGCCATGTCAGAAGAGCCCGAAGACTGTGACCCAAGTGCTGGCAAGTGTACCTCTTTCGATCATCGAACGCCCGGGTGGCACCTGCAAATGTTGGCTATTTGGGATAAGGATGAGCCAACTCCCACTGACAAACTTGCATGGATTCAGCAGACTTATGACTCGGTCTTTCCAGTGTCGCTCGGTGAAGCCTTTCAGAATTACATCGATTCTGACTTGGCTGAAGGCCGTGAGTGGATCAGTCAGTATTTCCCTAATGCGGATACTTATCCAAGACTTCAACAAGTGAAGTGTCGATATAATGGGATTGACATGTTCAACTTTGCGGCCATTGACTTGATGACTATTGATATTGATGACGACATATGCGGAGTAGATACCACTACGACTACCGAGGTCCCTACCACTACGACTACTGAGGTCCCTACTACTACGACTACTGAGGTCCCTACCACTACGACTACTGAGGTCCCTACCACTACGACTACTGAGGTCCCTACCACTACGACTACTGAGGTCCCTACCACTACGACTACTGAGGTCCCTACCACTACGACTACTGAGGTCCCTACCACTACGACTACTGAGGTCCCTACCACTACGACTACTGAGGTCCCTACCACTACGACTACTGAGGTTCCTACCACTACGACTACTGAGTTCCCTACCACGTCGACTACTGAGGTCCCTACCACTACGACTACTGAGGTCCCTACCACTACGACTACTGAGGTCCCTACCACTACGACTACTGAGGTCCCTACCACTACGACTACTGAGTTCCCTACCACGTCGACTACTGAGGTCCCTACCACGTCGACTACTGAGGTCCCTACCACGTCGACTACTGAGGTCCCTACCACGTCGACTACTGAGGTCCCTACCACATCGACTACTGAGGTCCCTACCACATCGACTACTGAGGTCCCTACCACTACGACTACTGAGGTCCCTACCACTACGACTACTGAGGTCCCTACCACTACGACTACTGAGGTCCCTACCACTACGACTACTGAGGTCCCTACCACTACGACTACTGAGGTCCCTACCACTACGACTACTGAGGTCCCTACCACATCGACTACTGAGGTCCCTACCACGTCGACAACTGAGGCCCCTACCACTACGACTACTGAGGTCCCTACCACTACGACTACTGAGGTCCCTACCACATCGACTACTGAGGTCCCTACCACATCGACTACTGAGGCCCCTACCACATCGACTACTGAGGTCCCTACCACGTCGACAACTGAGGCCCCTACCACTACGACTACTGAGGTCCCTACCACGTCGACAACTGAGGCCCCTACCACGACCACATTGCCGCCTTCAAATGATTGTCAAGAGGCGGATAGGAGATGCTCAGAAAGTTACCCGGGTTCCTATTGTATGTCATATAAAGTTCCTTCGGTATGTTGGGGAAGCAACGAGCTTTGCACCTGCGGCTCAATCTCCTCTTCCACCACTGGCTCATCGTCTGGTAGCAGCTGCTTCGAGGAAGATCTACGCTGCGCTAGTCTTAAAGAAGGTTCGTACTGTAAGTATTGGAGCAATCCATCCAAGTGTTGGGGGATTACCGAGCCATGTCATTGCTAGTTATGTGATTTCTAAGTTTTGCCTCTGAGGTTTCTAATTTTCCATCATTTTAACCTAGTCCTCAAGTTATGTTTTTCATCCGCTTAGTATTTCTCAAGCATAATCTTATTCTAGTTACTAGAGTCTAGTATGAACTCTGCGAACCATTCTGTTGTAGGGATTAGCAAGTAAACGTACATGTGTTCTGAGTTGTGACTGAAGGTATAGGGATACGTTTGCTAGAGTATCAATTGAGTATCATATAAACTCGTTTGTCGTCCTGAGTTCCGAGTTATGTTAAATATGATCTTACCACTCATGGACGAGAGTGCAAAGATGCATTCTCTGCGTTTTTGCACGAATACTCGGTTTAGGTGAAGGTCGCCGGAAGGGAAGTAGAGAGAGGGTGCAAACTGTGCTGGAAGGGATGATGCCATTCCCGTCTTGCTGAAATGCTCTCGATCCTGTTCAAGGACGCCGGTGATCCTTCGGAACAGATAACTGTGAGTTCGAGCCGATGTACAGCCGTTGCAAGTTTTGATAGAAGACAAACGGTGACTGAGATCATCAGGAACGCCACGGGGATCAAGTCTAGCTAAGCTGGCGACAGCCTTCAAACTGACACACGAGTCGTTAGCCGTAAATTGAAGTGTTGAACGCGACCACGATCTCGAACTCGAAAAGAATTTCTAGTTCAGAATCCACGAAAAGCCATCTCGTTTTTCATTTCTACTTCATTGGAACCCATTTATACAGTCGAGCCTCCAGAGCTCCGAATTCGAAACTCGGAAAATACAACAATACAATACGAAGTGGGAAATCTGGATCTTCTCCCTTCTCAGAAAAAAGCTTCGAGGAATCGGTCCATAAACTCCCGCGGCGAGGCTCCCGGAATTCGGAACTCGGTTAGCGATCACTCTTAATACAGATCAATAGATCTGTATGAATACAGATAATGTCAGCTTCTAGCTGACATATCTGCATCGATGTCTAATCCTCCCTACTAATGGCAAATTGAGTTACAGTTTGCCGAAATGAAATTGCATCAGTCGTACCTAAGAAATCGTTGATTCTTCAGTGACTTATCCGCATACAAGTTTGATCTTTCTGAGCCTGGTAACTGAGCGAGGCTGATAATACTCAAAATCTGAATCGGACACAAATCCCAAATTGACAACTCGAAACTGCCATATTCACAAGCAATACCTAGTAGGAAGACCATACCATATCAGAAGAACAGCTGAGAAATGAAAGAATTGAAAAGCGGATAGTATGAGAAAGTTTCGAGGCGGATGAAATCAGATAAGATAATTAAAAAGAATCGCAGTACGTTTGAGCCTCGATTATTGGCAAGAGCACAGCTCGTTGGTTCCCCAACAGTTGGAAGGAGAAGACCAATATTTGCAATAGGAATTATCCTTCAGACTGGCACAGCGCAAATCCTCCTCATAGCATCCACCTGCAGTAGCTGGTACTGTTGTTGACGCAGGGATATTATCGCAGCTGCAAGGCTCATCGCTTCCCCAACAGACTGTTGGAAGCTTATATGTCATGCAAAACGAGCCAGAGTAGCCTTGTGAGCACTTCCTATCAGCCTCCTCACAGTCATTTGAGGGCGAAGATGTTTTCGTAGTAGAAACCCTAGTAGTCGTAGTGGTACGGACCTCAGTAGTCGTAGTGGTAGGGACCTCAGTAGTCGTAGTGGTAGGGACCTCAGTAGTCGTAGTGGTAGGGACCTCAGTAGTCGTAGTGGTAGGGACCTCAGTAGTCGTAGTGGTAGGGACCTCAGTAGTCGTAGTGGTAGGGGCCTCAGTAGTCGTAGTGGTAGGGACCTCAGTAGTCGTAGTGGTAGGGACCTCAGTAGTCGTAGTGGTAGGGACCTCAGTAGTCGTAGTGGTAGGGACCTCAGTAGTCGTAGTGGTAGGGACCTCAGTAGTCGTAGTGGTAGGGACCTCAGTAGTCGACGTGGTAGGGACCTCAGTAGTCGACGTGGTAGGGACCTCAGTAGTCGTAGTGGTAGGGACCTCAGTAGTCGTAGTGGTATCTACTCCGCATATGTCGTCATCAATATCAATAGTCATCAGGTCAATGGCCGCAAAGTTGAACATGTCAATCCCATTATATCGACACTTCACTTGTTGAAGTCTTGGATAAGTATCCGCATTAGGGAAATACTGACTGATCCACTCACGGCCTTCAGCCAAGTCAGAATCGATGTAATTCTGAAAGGCTTCACCGAGCGACACTGGAAAGACCGAGTCATAAGTCTGCTGAATCCATGCAAGTTTGTCAGTGGGAGTTGGCTCATCCTTATCCCAAATAGCCAACATTTGCAGGTGCCACCCGGGCGTTCGATGATCGAAAGAGGTACACTTGCCAGCACTTGGGTCACAGTCTTCGGGCTCTTCTGACATGGCATGACCGTAGAAGTCTAAGAGCATCACACAATCACCAGCATTTTGACACACTGGGTCGACCGAGGCTTGAGCGAGATACTCCAAAGTTTCAATGCTCATATCCTTGGGGAAGTAGATGGACTTCGCCTTATAGGGGCCACCGTAAACATCTCTATCAAATGACCAACACTTTTCCATAGCATCTTGGAGATCCTCCTCACTGCAGTTAGCTACACCATCAGAAGGGTAGAAGTCCATCCAAGAATCGGAAGTGCAATCAGCCCAGTACCACATGGCCTTTCCAAAGTCTTGCTCGACACGTAGAGGATTAGCCAGGCCGACGGCAGCTTGCATCGCATCCAATTTACTATGACAGACCGTACAATCACCAGTAACATCATCACAGATGCACTGAGCGCTGTACTGAATCCCACCGCCGCCTAAGAATTTACCGATTCCGAATATCTCAGGACCGGCAGCATCGGAGTGCATAAATTCTTGAAAGGCTTTAATCCTCTGAGCTTGTAAGGAAGGATTCGAATCGAAGTTCTTACCGGAAATAATAACCACATTAGTGACAGGGAAGGCGTCATAACTTAGTGAAACTAATGCACCATAGTTACCACCCATACCACCACGGACAGCAAAGAGAAGATCAGAATACTCATTGTAACCGGTAGCAGTAACCAATTCGAACCGACCATTCTCACGATTGTAGACCACAACCTCAGCAGCAACAATTCTATCAGATGTGACACCATACATAGCAGAAGACAGACCATGGCCACCACCAGAGGTTAAACCAGCTAAACCAACGGAAGAACCAGAGCCTGCAGCCAATCCTAGTGGGGGGTCATGACGAGCAAGCCTCGAGTACACTTCCAACAACATCAAACCAGAGCCCATCTTAGCGACGTATCGACCATCATCATCATAAGTAACATCGAAACTCTTCAATTCCGAGAAGTTGATGATGACACCTCCGTTGACTGTAGATTGTCCGATATAAGAGTGGCCACCATTACTCCTCAGAGCTACAGGAGTATCTTCCTCGTAACAGATCTTCAAGGCAATAATAATATCCTCAGCTGAAGACACGTAAACCATAGCGGCTGGATCGTAACCATTGGCTTCATCAAATCGTGTGTTATATGGTGGGGGAATATCATTAGTTTGGACCTGTCCTGGAAGGGCGGCTATCAGACGATCGACGGCATCGTTGACGTCAGCCAAAACGAAGGACGACATGAAGGTGACGAAGAGCCAACGCAGAAGGAACATATGTGGGAACTCAAAATGCGAGAAACTACGTCGAAGATGAATAATTCCCACCCCCAAAGAATACTTTATTCGAACCACTCTCTGACCTACAAATCTTCACTTCATCAGACTATGTTACTAGCCTCAAGGACAAGGACACAGCGTTTCATCACAATACTGAAGGCCTCACACAATATTCGAGGAGTACTCAGATAAGGTGAAGTGGTAGGGTATATAGCCACCATCGTGTATGCATACCTATTCATTCGAGCATTGTCGCTGATGTAGAGAACGAATTGTGGACTTCCAAAACGGTTAGGAACATATTTTCGGCCAATTTTCGGGATTTCCCCCCATTATAATCGTTCATTCGGAACATTTTTCCTAGTCTCGGCGGGATCTTAGGAACGTTATTTCTGAGAGCTGGATGACTCCCTGGTAGAGAAAAGTATCGTTTGATGTATACGGCCGGTGGTGGAAAAGAATCGACTCTGTAATGTCTCGACGAATGTAAGAAAGATGTACCATTTTGAAGTACTCTTTCTAATGGTAGTTGACTCATCTCCATATTCTCCATAAGTTATCGAGTTTATGGTATGTGCATTTTTCCTATATATTCATGCATCACCACTGATGTAGGGAAAATTTTCGCTCGGTTACTGGTTCGCGAGTGCTCAAACTTCATTCATCCATTGACTATACCACTGCAAGTTCATGGTGAATAGTGATTCTTAACAACCACAAACACACGCTTCCCTTCAGTGTTGAAATATATGTTTGCTTTGCTCAGCTGAGCTCAGGGGTTTCCTCACTAAATCTGGAAATTAATTCGAATTAGGGTAGAAGTGTACAGAAACCAATCAGAATTTCCCAGAAGTTCTCTTAGGATTCTCATATTGTCACCGACACATGTAATTGATCATATGCATTGCTTCCACTTTTATGTGATTTAACGTACCACTCGGGTGTATGTGAACTTCCCAAATGTGACCGCGGATAACTACTCAAAAACGCAAGCCCATTGGAATAAGATACGAATTAATAAGTATTCAAACAAATGTCACAATCACTAAACATCTCATATGCATCAAGCTGTCTTAAGCACACTCTTCGTAGTCGCTCGGCGAAGAAACCACTGAAGAGCCAATACACCAGCAGACACGCAGGCTGCCATACCGAATGTGCAATCAAATCGTAGCTGCATCGAAGTAAAGTCAACCTAAAACAACGTCAACCAGTGAGGGAGTACATGCGTATGGTCAATTACATGTGCTGGTGAAAATATGGGGATTTTGATAAAAATTTTGGGGAAAAATTCTCATTGATTTCAGTGAGGAAGCTCCTAAACTCAGCTGTGGACATCAGACATATTTCCCAACACACGGTGAAAGAGTTGACCTAGACTTACTTTATCACCGAGGAACCTCTCAAGTTCTACTCTGGCTCTGCTATGCAACGGCAACGCCATCCGCATCATCAACGTACACGTACAGAAATACAACAACATCATCTGAAAACACTGGAGTTTCACCACCCTAGTGATATGAAAAACATATTTCACGACTACTGCATATCATCGCGAATAACGCGCTCTTTCACAGAGTATTACGCCCCTTCACTTGAAAAGGGTCGTGAAACTCCATCATTTAAGGAACAGATGTTCGCTCTCCTCACTAGTCGTAGCAGTCAGAGTAAAAATTCATAAAAACCAACGATAGTTTCCCAAAATTTCATCAGAATTTTCATATTCCATATTCCCCCCCCCACATTTTCTGAAAACGACATAGTCCCATGAAATCTCCAAGATGATTTTCCCTAAAATTTCTCGACGGCTCACCTGTGCCATTATTATTGCTATCGCAGCGTTGGCTTTCTGCGACGACTCCATACCAGCGTGCCTGAATCGTTATCAATCGATCAACAAGTAACCATCATGAATAATTCAACTTCTGAAGATGCCGCAACGACTGTTATTTATGATGTCATCTAGATAACGATAGAGTCTTCTCTTTCCTTTTTTATTCTTGTATTTCGATAAATAAGTTTTTTCATTTTTTACTAAGTTTTTGTTTTCCCATTTTTTCATCAAATTACTCGATCGAGGACTAAGAACACTAGATGACTTTCAGAGCAGCCCCAGCACCCTTACGGTTGAACCAGTCTGAATATTGACAATAACTGTGAAATACAGTTCCTTGTATTGCTGATGGTTAGATGCGTGATGAAGAGGACAGTGAGAAGACGTAACCAATATTGGACGTCAATTTTCAACTGAATCACCAAAGAAAATAAATTCCGCCTTAGATGACTAACCCTACAGGAGTGTACAGAATAGAGGCCGCTAACAGACGCTCTATAAGGCTCCTCTCAGTAACACTGCCGTTTACGAAATTACGCGAGGAGGTGACTATTTTATACGTACATACCACCGACATTATCCACCCTAACAAGAAGTGAACATAGTAATATCACACGAGTTCTAGTGTAGTCGAAATTGACTATATTGGAAATACGCACATGTGTCGGTGACACTGTAAAAATTTCGAACAAATCCTGGGATTTTTTTTTGGAGTTTCTAAACAATTTCACCCCAACTCATGTGATTAGTGGTGAAACTCCTGAGCTCAGCTGAGGAGAGCAAACATTTATTCTCTCAGCGGAGACGATCATACAATGCATATACATATATTGCTACACTAACTATTGATAAGCAATTATGAAATATTCATTTATACTGGAGCTTCACAACCCGTTTTACGTGAAGTGGCGTAATACTCTGTGAAAAAACGCGATATTCGCGGTGATATGCAGTAGTCGTGAAATATATTTCTCACTAGTGTTTTTCATATCACTAGGGTGGTGAAACTCCAACCTACTTTTATTAGTAAAATTACAATTCAACATAACAGGGCCATATTTCGAAATTATATTTATATGTGTTTCTGAAGACATTTCTTTTTCCAATTTTACTTCTCCTCCTCCTCCTTCGTGAATACAGCGATAGATCCTAGCAATAGATAGCATCAAACTATACCCAATATCAATATTTAAATTAGTTATAATTAGATATACGCTAACCATTAAAAGATAATAATGCATCATTGGAGTTTCACCACCCTAGTGATACGAAAATCACTAGTGAAAAACATATTTCACTACTGCTGCATATCACCGTGAATATCGCGTTTTGCACCGAGTTTTACGCCATTTCACGTAACACGGGTTGTGCAACTCCATTAGTAGGATTAGATAACATTATCGATTACAAGCAATCGATTTATCTCCATAGATATATATAACTATACGATAGCTCATTAACCGTATCAAGACATATATTATATATATAACACCGCTGTTATGAATCCACAGACTTCTTGGCAAAAACTCCCCTAATACGCCAAGAAAAGAAGTAGTAAAAAAAGAGCACTTGCTCACCCCAGACGTTTTTCAAGCGGCCGATACATGTCGCGGAGTAGAGCATTCTTTCCCGCTCGTCAATGAGGTTCTCCAAATTGGTATGCATCTCAACACCTGCCATAATACATCCCACCCTAGAACTACATGTGAGCGTAAAAATAAGAAAACTATGGGGAAAATTTTGGGAAAATATCTTTGATTTTTCTTGCACTTCTACCAAAAATCGCGTGTGGATTTCCATAGTGTAGCGGCGAAATTTACGAACTCAGTTGAGGAAAGCAAACATATATTCCCATCCTGCCACTTGCGTGCCCCCACTGAATGTGAACTGGTGTAAAACTCCGTGTAAAACGCGATATTCAAATTCCATAAAATATGTTTTTCATATCACTAGGGTGAAACTCTTACTCATAGACTCCAAGGCTTCAATTTCATACAGCATTTCCCGCTCGGAAGTTTTTCCGCCCGAACCACCACGTAAAATCCATCCTAATACATTCGATAGATACCCTGAGGGGAAAATAAAAAAATTTTTTCCAGAGCAAAATTTTCTGCTACCATCATTTTTGCTATCTCTGGAGTTCGCTTGATGAGTTCCCTGTAGAACAGTCCGTTTTCTCTCCCCGATCAGCTGTAGTGTATGCAGTAGTCGTTTTTGTTGTTCTCGCAGTTGCCTTTCGGTAACCTACCGGAAGGGGAGGAAAATACACACATACGTTGGTGAGAATTGGAGGGAGTTTTGGTAAAATTCTTGTTGATTTTCGTACATTTCTACCCGAATTCAAATGTCAAACTGTAGAGTTTGTTAAGAAACTCCTAAGCTCAGCTGAGGAAACTCAAATATATATTCCTCCAACACTGAGGACCTGATACGACACCAGGTATCTCACACTAGGGCATTGGCACAACAATTTTTTATTCGAACAAATACCATACCATAACTAACGCTGCATTATGTTACGCCCTCGTTACAGTTCACTAGTCCCCTAGTGTAACACCCCTGAGGAATTGCTACAAATCATACTAATGTTGGTGAAGGAACATATGTTCGTCGCCTTCCTCAGCTGAGCTCAGAAGTGTCCTCACTTATTATACAAGTTTAGACACGAAAAAATGCTCAGAAACTAATGAGAATTTCCCGAAATTTCCTCAGAATTTTCTTATTTTCCCACCCAGATAGAAGTAATGAATTCCACACCAGCAACTCACAGGGTTCATCAGCCTCGATATGTTAGCATAGGGGGACTTCACCGCTCCGTAACCAGATACTATAGCCACAAGCACTACTCCAATAGAGCCAGTCGTTGACAATAGGAAACCCTCACCTGCGTAAAATGGGAACATCACCAATCGGGAATATTCCCAAAATTTTTTGATCCGTTGGTTCAAACGTAGCGTTGAGCTAACCGTAGCCGCCTGTTCTTACACCGAAATTGATACAGGAGCTCTCCAGCTGATATAGCGTGGGGAAAAATATGCACATGTTCATCTGCATATGAAAATTTTGAGAAAGTTTTGGAGAATTATAATAGGTTTCTGTACACTTCTACTATAACTCATATAATGACTATGGCAACTCCTCAGCTCAGGTGCTGAGGAAAGCGAACATATATTCCTACTCCAACACTGGAGCCATAACACACCACTACAGCTCGACTGTTAAATGATTCATCTTGTAAGATGAGTATCCTAGCACACAAAGTATGTCTGTTCCCATTGATATATCGTATCCTAACCTAGCTTAGCAACGTATAAGGGCTACATAATTACTACTAATTGACGACTCAGACTTCTTCTATACTCTCTTTATATTACCCTGTCTCATCGTCCAATACACTATAAGCACAGCTAGACCTCCGCAGCTCCCCAGCTGTAGCCAGTGCCGTAGTGATGTATTTTTCCAACGAAAACTCGAACCTAGGTACAGATCTAAATGCGATATACTCAAGTGGTGGTACCGTAAGATCGAACAGGACATGCTATGATAAGGAGCGAGAGCGGTAGGAGGACATACACCATGAGTAGGATGCCATTCAGGCAAATACCTGCAAAAATGCACAACGTGGGGATCGAACCCGGGACATACGCATGCAAGGGCAAGGTACTAACCACTCGACCAATATTACTCCATGCAATCATCCTCGCTCGTTCATCCACCAAGGGACCCAACTGTAGACCCAATAAGAGGATCAACAAACAGCTCAACGAGAACGCCAGAGAGAAATCTCCCGCTGCTAATATCACCGCTGCGGACATACTCAGAGGAATATCCCGGAATAATACCCTTCGCGAAAACCATCTGAATAGAATTACAAAATGAACTCCTCTACGTGTAAGCGTCTGGGACACTGTTGAAGCTTAAAATTCGAAACTAGTGAGTTCTGTACGGGTCTATCATCATTGTTAACATGATGAACACGGCGACTGAAAGTTCATAAACGAATAAATCTGATATTCGCACCTTTGCTCCTCACCTGAGCTCAAAAGTTTCGTCACTAATTATACAAGTTCACATACGAGTTGGAGTAGAAACGTAGAGGAACCAATGGTAATTCCCTAAACTTTTCATAGTGTCACTAATACATGTAGTTGATGACCCTGTGCAAATTTTCCCACAAGCTGCCATGGTTTTTCGCAAGTACTTTTGATCGAATCAGTTCGGACGAGCACACCATTTAGATCTGTGGAGTTTCACCCGTTTTACGCGAAGTGAAATGTGTTTTTCACACCACTAGGGTGAAACCCCCTTTATTACATTCCCCCCCACAAAAACATCATCCATGTCGCAGTTATAGACATAACACCAGTCGTGTTTCCGAGTAACACCTGTGCAGATTGAGGTTCATTCGAGGCTGCCATTTTCGAGGAAAGTGAACATCTAAACATTCAAGGATCATATCC